GTAGGACTTGCCTCCTCCTGTTACCACCACGAAGGCCACGACGCGTAGGCTTAACTCTAGATGGACCAAGGGAGGTCAAGCGTTGCCATAAGTCTGGTGCAAGACGGTTGTTAGTTTGGATTGAGGAGGATAAAGACCTTAGGAAGGAGCTCGTATAGATGGCTGCCATACTGGAGAACACTTCTCATACAACAGGGTTCTTTTGCGTAGAAATAATGAGTAAAATCCAAGATTTTCCGGAGATCAGTATTAACACGTGCTGCCAGGCGGGCGCTCGTGACATTCTATAAGAATATAAGCTACAAACTAGATAAAATAAAAAAAGGCCGCTTAAGTCAGGTTAAGTCGCATTCAGGCTGAGAATCCTACTTAACCTTCTGTGCAGTTTAAAAAATTATCGCTAACACCCAAAATGGTTTTCCTTAATTCTCCTTTCCCCTCTATGGGTTCGTGGTATTAGGAAAAAAGTCATACACTTTCGCAGAACAATAAGATAACAACCAGTTACAATGATCTTTTAAAAAACATGACACTAACTGGTTCCTTATTTCCGAAAGATTTTCATCATATGATTTTAAAAATGAACCTTATGGGTGAGCTTCAACTTTAGAAATAAATGAAAGAAACCAACCGCGACGTGACTCAAACGTGCATTTCCTACTATATTTGACTGTGATGATAATTTTACGCCAATCATTCTTTTTTTTCCCTGGTTGTCAGTCGGCTGTTATGATAAATTTGGCACAGGTTTCACAGTGCTTGATTGTCGGGCAACGGTCTTTAACACAATAATACATCATAATACTGTTGAACCCAGAGTTTGAAATATTTCCTTTTAAAGTTGTCAGAGCAATAATTGTACTCTTATGGTTTTTCTTCTCATGCATTTACCTACATTGACTATCCGATAGCAGTACTTGATCTTAGTATATACCACTCAAGTGAATAGTGATTTTCACGCGCGCTAATTGGCTAGTTCGGAAGCAAACTGCGAGTACTATTCACCTCCACTTCGGTGAATAATTGTACAATATTTTAATTCATCCTCTCCCATTTCATTCTAAGCATCTCCTCTAATACTTCCCAGACCTATTTACTTAACTCTTGTCCTTTCACGCACGTTTTGCGTACGGCAAAACTTACACGACAATATAAAAACACCTTAAACGTAGTTCCATATCAAATTCCAGGTTTTTTCAAAGGCGTATGCCACTCACACAAATCGAAATCGCGAGAGTACGGAAAAAAGTTGAAAAGCCCTCAACGC